CACGCTGTGTCTCACCTAAAAAATCCACTGCGCAGGCTTGAAGGGTCAATGACCTTTCCCAAATCTTCGCTCGCGAAGACTGGCCATTATTATTATTATTTATTATTATTATATACAATAGATAATGACAAACTGAAAGTACTCCTTAAATTGAAACTATTCAAGATTGGGTGGAAAAATCATCTCATTGCACTATATTTTTGTTCTCATTGCACTATATTTTTGTTCTGCCTCTGCCATTCTCGGGTCAAGTTCAGTCTGTTTTTCACTGGTACCTCTTCAGGTGTAGTTCAGTCAACAGAAATCTCTGTGTCACTTGCACTAGTTTCATTAGCAATGGGTCTTTGGTCAGAGTTCAGTTGGCACATTAGCTGGTCAGGTAAGAGACAGGAGAGACTCCAGCTTGTTCTTTGAAATCTGAGGGTCTGGGGAGAATTAGCAGGAACAAAAGAACATCCATATATGTTTACATGTGTATGTGTGCAAGGAAAATTATTATCAAGGAATCAAATTTTTATGTAATCCATTTCCAGATGGCAATGATATTTTAATTATATATTACTTTAAGTTTCAACTAGCAAAAATATTCTGTTGAATAACTTAATAGCATTTTGCCACTTCTTACCTAAGTGTACTCTGGGATGGATGATTGCATTTTTTATGCTGCTATCCTGCACAAAAGCCAACATTAGAACCACATTGTAACATGGGGCAATGCATTCTGCTCCTTTGAAGAGGAAATGCCAGAGTTCAGATGACTGGTGCAATCAGCTTGTGAAAACAGCCTTCTAATGAAAACTGCTGGGTACACTGAGAAGCAGAGATGCTGCTAGCTCTGCCTGGGAATGGGAGTGGAGTCTGGGGAGTTCATCTGCAAGGCTAGCTGAAGAACTTAATGCATTGATGTACTTGCTTGCTCACCTCTTTGCTTTTTCATGTGTGGTTTCCCGGAAGACCAGAGAAGCTCTGTGGCAGCAGTGTGCCATTCAGATCACCCATGCTATCCAGTATGTGGTGGAGTTTGCAAAGCGCATAACAGGCTTCATGGAGCTCTGCCAGAATGACCAAATTCTCCTCCTTAAGTCAGGTGGGTAAACACCAGAGGCTTGGGATTGGTTTGGCACCCAGCACCCTAGAAATGTGCTCAGCTGTCTTGTTCTGCAAATCATTTTAATTTTGAAGGAGCCCTAATTTAAGTTTGAAGGGGCCCTAACAGACCCCTAACTTTCTTTCATTAACCCTTCTGTATTTTTCCACATTAGTCATGTTACTGCCTTCTAATCTCCTTCCCTCTACAGTCAGTTGTAGTTATTAAGTACATACATACACATAACCATTGCAAAAACTGCAGTCTCCAACTTGACATGTGGTGGAAGGACCCTGCAAATTGAGCTGGTCCAATCAGTCATCTGCCACCCCATGAAATCACTCAGGCCTACCTCTATGGTCATCTCTAATCTTTTTAATGAGACTACAGAAATACCCTACAGCCTTTGCACAGGAGGGAAAATCCCTGCTGGTGCCAGTTGGTTTCAGAATAAATGAGAACAGATTACAGCAGTGTGCTCCAGCCATGCTCTCTGTGCATGCCAGGTTTGCACGTGTGTGTGCATAAGGGCAAGGGGGAAAAGGCTTTCCTTACTTGTCAAGGAACTTGGTAATTTCTGTCCTCTGGAAAAATCATGACAAGATTTATCATGACTATGCAGTAACACTGCCAAACTCAGGAGGACAAAATGACATGACCAAGTGAACCACAAGAACCACAACTGGTAATTAATTACATTTACCCTGTCATACCAGTTTCTTGCTCCCTTCAAAGGTAAAAGGCAGGATACTGTGTGAGGCGGCTCATTAAAGCTTAAGTCTTCCTATTTCAAGAGAGATCTCTTCCTTAAGGCTGAAAGCCCGTGTGATTCAGTATTCTGTACACAAAAGACTGCAGCTCGGTGTGGGGCTGGACTCTGATGGTGGGCACAGGTGCAAAGGGAAGTGATACAGAGACCCTGGGAACATACAGACAACCTTCTGGAAAAAGGGAGTTGTAGCACAAAAACTATTCTTTTAAATCTTGTACTAATTTTGCAAATTCTCTAGATACCAGTGCACCCCTAGGAAACTTCCTTCTTTTGACTGGCAAAGCTAACAACACAACTGCACCTTCGGGAAAAGACGTATTTGACTGTACTGTCAGAAAACACTGTTAAGTTTTGGCATATAAAGATATGCCAGGTTTTATTTTCTGTTTCGCTGTTAACACTGAGCAGGAAAGTCACGACTTCTCTCTCAAAAGCATGTTTGCAAAAGAATCCTCAGATTCAGAGTTCATTTGACATGTCATTTGGATTTAGTTAAGGCATGTTTAAAATGTTTCCTTTCATTTTCCCAACTGCATATTTTGCAGTTAGGAAATAATATGCAAAGATAAAGAATAAAAAAGAATTCTTCCTTTGGCTAATCAACAACCAGAACAACAACAACAAAAACAACAAAAGAAATCAAAAAAAATTCAACCAAACCAAAACAAGGAAAATAAAAGTAAAACCTGTTTTAGGGATGATCTTGACAGAGCTTTAACCTTCATTTTCTCTCTAAAAATGCTTTGTGATGATCTCCCTCTCCAGTCAAAATAAGGTGGGATTTTTATACACATTGAATGAAGATGCTTTTTGGTATTAAAAAAAAAAGGTTTAATTGTTAAAAAGAAGATTCAATAAATGCCTAATTTTAAGGATAAAATATTTCAAACTGAAATTATTTGCCCAGGTCTAAACTCAGCCTGGGGACTTAGTCCAGGATGGGGAATTTTTTTTGCTGCAAGGGGGGAAAAAGTCAACTGAAAGAAAAGGTGGTTAGACTGGACCAGAAATGACCCCTTTCTACATGCAAAGCAGAGAAATGTTTTTCTGCCATTCAGAGACATATAATCAAGATGTCTTCAAAGAGTGTCTATTCCTGCTGATGACTCATGTCTTCCTAAATATCTTCTTGACATTTCCTACACTCTGATATTAGGCAGTAATATATGGTTCCTTTGCTCTTTTTTCTGTCTGATAGGCTGCTTGGAAGTGGTTTTGGTGAGAATGTGCCGTGCCTTCAACCCACTCAACAATACTGTTCTGTTTGAAGGAAAGTATGGAGGAATGCAGATGTTTAAAGCTTTGGGTATGTTGCTCTTCTTCTTTTCAACCAGTTACATTGACCCACATAGCGAGAGATTTGTCTTTATGAAAATAGTGACCCACAATGAAAATCTCCAGTAAATGTTGAATCTCCAAGCCTCCAAATGTCTAGGCTGGAACAGAAAACGAAAAAAGGTGAGTCCACTAGCTCTTAGCAGTGATAGGTATTTTTCTCTAATAAAAAAGAGCAGCATCAGGGTTTTTTCAAAAGGATTTCTTTGCCATCTGAAGTTTTGATAAAACATGAGTTTATGGCAGGAGCCAAGCTGTTTACCTTCACTGTTCAGTTGTGCTTGATGTATCAAATCACTGCCACTAATTGTGTCCTGCAGAAGGCAACTTTAGCCCCAGCAATGAGGTGACTAAAATGATGAACTGCTGTGAAATATAGACAAGGACTTCCCTAGAGTATTGTTTTGCCTAAAACTTTTAAGTAAGTTCATTTATATTCATTTATTGAAAAAAAATACTTTATTTCTTAACATGATATTGAGTGCTACCTGAAATGTTAATAGCTAAATGGATGTGTTTTGCCCATCCAACTGATATTATCAGAAATTTATTCAGGACCAAAGTCAAAGATTTGAGATATTTCCTTCAAATGTATATATCACGTTAGTATATATTTTTCTTATTGGGTATCATACACAAAACACTCTTTACAAGCTTAAAGCATTTATAAATGCGTATTGGGTGATTTATTTTGGTCTTTATGATGTTTTCACAAATTTTCATAAATATTTTACTGATAATTAGTAAAATTATATATGGGAAAATTATTTAGTGCTGGTCTTTCATACCAGATTTAATATCTATCTAGAAATAGCAATTCTTTCCACATTGGGAAAATAGTGCTCTCTTCTAAGATGTCTTTGCAATTTTTGTACTTGCCCCTAATTCTTGATAATTTTTTTACTTCAATGTATGTTTTAGTGACATTTTCAGGTTTGGTGGAATTTTAATAGTTAATGAAAGGCAGACATTCACTCACACCTTTTTGTCACAAAAACAATCCTTTCTCATGGCAGGTTAAAGAGCTAATTTCTAGCATTGATTTTGTCCTCTTTGGTCTGCAGGCTCTGATGATCTGGTAAATGAAGCGTTTGACTTTGCAAAGAATTTATGTTCCTTACAGCTGACTGAGGAGGAGATTGCCTTGTTTTCATCTGCTGTTCTGATATCACCAGGTAATTTTTCATTCCAAACACCACACTGGTTTTTTTCCTCTTTTCCCACCTTTATTTCTACCTAGTTAAATAGGTGTTTAAGCTGTATTAAGCAATGTTGAGCAATGTATTAAGCAGTGGAAGAATACCTGAATTACCCCAAATACACCTCACTGTCTCATTGTAGACCATCAGGAATTACACATATTGGAAGTAGATCCAAAGTGTGGGGTAAGAGACATGGAGCAGGATTGTGTGAAAAAGCAGTGCAGGCTGATGTTCTTCCAGACCACATACAGAGAAACATGGTACTCGAGGAGATACATGTTCCTCCCGACTTTCTCAGGGAACACAAATCTCACAGCTCTGAGCAGGTTATAAGGTCCATAACTATGATGGGCTTTTTCTGTGGGAATAAGAACATGAGCAGTTAAAATCTATACGCGGTCCCGTCTGAATTAAATTCCAGGTGAGATGATGTTATTAGAGGTGCAACATGCTTTTTTTATGTCTTCATATTATAATTCTGCACAGGCAAGCATGCATTTAAGTGAGTGATGGCTGGCTGACCACAGAAAAGACTTTTGTGATTAAGTTGACTCAGAAGGTGGATCTAGCAGAAAAGCTCACGGTTTAGTGTGGGATTTTTAAACATACCTCAGGGAATGTAGACACCCAGTTTCCTCCAAGGGTAACCTCTTGAAAGGCCTTACAAAAAACCTCACCATGTGTCTCAGTTTGAAGAGACTGGAATGTTTGCTAAAGAGGATGAGTTATGAGATAGACCAAACTTCTCTCTCTCAGCAATTGTAAATTCAAAAATTAAGGGGCTTTAATCGAGGAAGTGTGGAAAAAAACAGAAGAAATAAAATATCTTTATTAAATATCTTTATTACATTTATTAAAAGATATATGTATGTTGGCAAGAACAGTAACAGAACATAAAACAACTAGACAATAGTCCTGTACCCAGAAGTTCCCTTCAAACCAAACAAAAAAGTCTGAACACTTCTCTGTCCTTAGCGCAGTTCCAATCACGGCCGGCAGGGGGCGCTGTTGGGTCACTGGAGGTGCAGAGCCTGCAGTGCTCGGTGTTGGCCTGCAGGGGGCGCTGTTGGGTCACTGGAGGTGCAGAGCCTGCAGTGCTCGGTGTTGGCCTGCAGGGGGCGCTGTCGGGCTCTGGCGGTACCACACGGGAGGGGTCTGGGGGGTGGTCTCGGGTCGTGGGAGGAGCCGAAAAGAGAATGGGGACCCTTCCCCCAGAGGAAGAAAGGGGGAAAGGAAAGCAGTTCACCCCCACAGGACTCACTGTTATCTCAGATGACGTGTCTCAAGGCTCCTCCCTTTTCTCCCGTGGGCACGCAACTCTCCGATGAAAACCCAGTAGGTCCCGGTTGGAGTCACGAGGCAGTGTACGAGCCAATCAGGGCCGGTGGTCATGCCTCACCAGGACAAAAAGCCAGAAAGACCAGCTTCCAGGCCTTTTCTCCAAAAGTGCCCTGACACAGAGCCTATCTCCGTCCCTGAGAGAGAACTCCACAGTCTGCTTCCTCCCCTCCAAGCAGAACCAGCCAGCCCCTCCCAAAACTCCTCCCCTCTCCCCCCAGCCTCTGATGGACCATCAGTTAGGAATGTGGCCTGGCCAGCTAGGTTCTTTTGTAAGGCTAATTGACCCTTTTTTCCCATTTGACCTCCGTCTTTCTTACAGTGGGGGGGCAGGGGGAAGAAAAATTCCCCTCTCGGATTTATCACCTATAACACCATGAATTATTTTCCCAGCTTTTTCTGCTAAAGACTTCCTCTAGGTCACTTTGCCCTTTTGCGCATCTGTGGTATAGATTATGTTAGTCAGAATTAGACTAGCACAGATGGTGTCAACACGTTCATTCTCATCATTAATGACACCTGCTGAAAGAACTCTTCTCCTTTTTAGTTTGACTTTGAGGAGTTCTTACCATCATCTGCTCAGAGGTGAAATAGTGGAGCTGGTGGCTCTTCATGGTGTTGGGCCAGCATATTGCAGAGATAAAACAATGACCATTTCCACCTCAAAAGTGTCCCAGCTATGTGCAGGCATGAGAGTTGCCTGTCACTATCCCCCAGAGGTCCTGACTTCCTCTGGGAAAGTGGACTTGCAGTGTCCTTGTGGGTCCCTGCTTATCAGCCCTCCCTCAGTCTGAAAAGACCAAAGCTGTGAGGGTGACAGAGAGATGTGCTTGCTCCTGGAAAACATCAAGTGGACATAAAAATTCTGATCAATTTCTGCAGTTCTATATATGGCCCTCTAGTCTGCAAGCAAGAGGATACATGCCGTATGTCCTATTCCTTTTTAAAAAAGAGAATAAAAGAAGCAAAATTCCTTGATTCATTCAGACTGCTTATTTCTGTAGTCTGTGAGCATGTGTAACTCTAGTCATAAAACACACAGTAAGAAAGAAGTGGTGGGCTACAGCAGCATGTACATGAGTGAAAGCAATCTCTCGTCCATAAAAAGACAGCAAATTTGGACTGAGAGTGGGAAGAAAGGGAAAATAGTCCAGATTGAACTGACATTGAAATTTGCCATTTCTTTTCTTACAAAAATGATAACAGTAAACAATAGAGAAATAAATATTTCCTTCCACACTAGATGCTCTGGTTTCTTCACAATAAAGACTTTCATCATGGAAATATCACTGAAGTACTTGCACCAGACCTTCCGTCAATTAATACAAGCTTACAAAGTTTCCTTATGGGAAGTATTCATATTCAGGTTTCTTTTCACCACCCTGAAAGGTGATTCTTGTGCCCTTGATCTCAGTGTTTGGGCAGTTTACAGAGAACAGAGTGGTTCTATAGTGAGTAAGGGTCCTAAGAGCATCCACTAATAGATTTGCTAAGGTTGCAAAGCCCAGTTTCAGACCCATTTTCCATCTAATTCAGAGCACAAATCCAGATTTTCCACTTTGGGATATGTAACCACACTGCTTGAAGGTGATTCTTTACCTTGATTTCTGATTTCAGAAATTAAAACAATATAAGAGTCCATAAAAGTTGCAGAGGCATCTCTACTTGCAAACTTACCAGAGCAAGGTGGTAAGATGCTAACCTGGCTGCCCCCATATGCCAATCCCTCTCCTGAAATTCTGACTTGCCATGTTCCTTCGTTCCATTTTAGTTTTTGAAAAAGCAAGTGTTATAAGCTTTCTGCATTTTCTTTCCTACACTATTATCTAATGTAGTGGGCTGTGCACTCCTTAAAGATACACAAGTTCAACACTTAAAAGGAAAAGTATGTAGCTGAAATGCTTCTTCCTTTATGAGTAGTCACTCATCTATTGACTTTTTCCTGAACTATTGTGAATATAGCTAGAGTTACTTGGGAAATTCCAGCCAAATTTGCGAATGGTAGAAATCACATTTCAGATGGTAGAAACCACATTTTGGGAGACAAACTTAAGATCCATTATAAAAGTTTTACCTAGCTCTTGTCATGAATTTAAGAACTCTTGTGCAATATACAACATGCTTCATGACAGGCGAGGGATTAAACCTATCCTCTAACTGTCCCAGTCTATTTTTAAGCTTATTTTTGTGACGGAAAGGTAAATACTTTAAGGATAGGCCTCTATGATAAATCTTTTTAGCTCTAGATTGCCACAATAGGCATTAATTTAACGCTGTTGAAAGACATGTTTTTTCAATAGCATAAATTTTGGCACCTAACCTGTGAAGTCTAAATATTACTGTGTGCTTATTGTGTAGACGGTGCACGTGCTCTCAGCTAATTCTGTTTCTATGACCACTGATGGCACAGGATCCATTGGCTGCAGCATGATTCTCTAAGCTTTGCATAAAGATTATTTTCTTTTTCTGATCATCTGTTAAGTAGCTGAGGTTGAGTTTTGTCTCTTTTCACAGTACTTGACAGTGAACACTTTTCATACACCCCTCTCCACAGAGAGTCAGACAAATGACAGAATTGTTTTCCTCTTGTGATGAAATGCTGCTTGGCTCCAGCCTGTGTGGCATCTGTGCTCATTGAAGCAGTTGACTTATATAATTTCTCTGGGTTATTTTAGTGATGGGGATTGTGTGTAAAAGAGCCATAAAAGTGAAAGGACTTTTTCCTGTACTTTTCAATTTGCCCATGAAGATTCATGCCTTGTGATAAAATAAATTTTCGTATTTCCTATTTGAAAGCTCAAATCTATACCCAATAATTGGTCTGGATTAAGGAAGGAAGAAACAAATTTGTAGTATGGGAAAACAGAAAGTTCAGTGGTGCTGCAAACACACTGTATTAATAATTTTGGTCTGCCTTGTGGTCTGCTACTTCTCTTTCTTTGTGTTTTTTCCAGAAGTTATGACTTGTGAAAATATAGATATTAAGGACAACCTCCTGCACTTGGGCTTTGAGTTCAATAGAAGCCATATGGGTTTTAAACATCTGTATCTGTAACTGTTAGTCTCCCAAATAATCTTCTATTTTGTGTTGTTTAAAAGGAGAATATCTTTAAACAATGAGAAATTTGCACTTCAAGGCATTTCAACAACTCATAATTTTTTTGAATTATTAAAGATATTCTTTTGAAGGAAGCCATTTTTTTATGTAGAATATATTTGGTATCAAAATTTTAGCCTAGTAAATAATGAGATATATTTTATTTAAATAATTGTATTCTCTTATTTTCAAAGAACTGTTTTGATCAATGTTTATTATTTGTATATTAAGTCACTGAGGCAACATACATGTTTATCACCTTGCCACTATAAAATTAGAAGAACATTGATTGTACCAACAGAGAATAATAAAGTGGTTGGGCCATGTTTCAATTCTATTCCCATCTTTATACCTAACATAAAGAGATGCAGAGCCAACATTATGTTCCTGTATGTTTTGTATATGTTAGTTAAACACTCAGGTGATCCTTTAATGTGTCAAGACACTTTGCCTCTGAAACCATGTCTTCATTACCATGCAGTCCTTCCTCGTGGGAATTAAGATTGCTGTGAATGCTTGCCAGCATGGCACACTGCGTGCACCATGAGCATGCCCCACATCTGTGCATTCTTTACCTCTTCTTTTCCTTTTTCTCAGATCGAGCCTGGTTAATAGAGCCAAGGAAGGTCCAGAAGCTTCAGGAAAAGATTTACTTTGCACTTCAACATGTGATCCAGAAGAACCACCTTGATGAGGAGACACTGACAAAGGTAAGTTGTTAAAACAAAAAACCGAACACTTCTTGATCATGCCTCTTTTCTTTTTGTAGCCGTTTCTGCATGTACTACCACATTAATGTAAGATAAAAGTAGCGCACTGTGTGCTTGCAATGCTCAGGAGGAGATAGGCTTCTTTGATGCTTGTCCCTATTTCTTCTTACTCCATTTTTTGTTCAAAATACTAATCTTTTTAATTGATACCCTATTAAGAATGGGACTGCCTTAAAAAAATAACCCTCCTTCTAAATGCATTTTTGGCACTTGGCTAAAACTTCTGGGACAATTGGTTTTAGGCTTTTATGGTAAGAAAAATGTCTTGTCTTTTGGATGGGTACTTTTGGTGAGGCTTAGAATATTGCATTCAGTTACTCAGCAAGATGCTAACAGTTCATTTTGGAAACTGTAATTTATACAAAATTTGATTCTTCCCTCTCTCCTTTTTTTTTAATGTCTCACAGTTAATAGCCAAGATACCAACAATTACTGCACTTTGCAACTTGCACGGAGAGAAACTACAAGTATTTAAGCAATCTCATCCAGACATAGTGAACACACTGTTTCCTCCATTATACAAGGAGCTTTTCAATCCAGACTCAACCACTGGCTGCAAGTGAAGGGGATAATAGAATTTTCACGTAGTCATGGAATGCATCACTATTAAGACAAAAAGAAATGTTTTCATGAAGAACTTATTAAAAATGTCACTACTGCAACACTAGGAATGTCCTGCACTTAATAGAATTATTTTTCACTGCTACAGTTTGAAGAATGTAAATATGCAACTCTGAGTGGGGATGTCATTTTTCTCTTTTCTTTTTTTTTTTTTTTTTTTAACTGACAATGATTATACAGATTTAGGACACTGTGTGTTACCTTTTTTTTAATTTACATTTGTTGGGGGATGTTTTGGGAGACAGCTGTTCCTAGAATTTTATTGTAGATATACATGAGAATAGAGCAGTACTTTGCAGTATTACTCTTGCTGTTTATTGTTCAAATATTATTTAAGAAAATTCCACTTATTAGATTGCCTAGTTCTATGTTTTTAGATAGTTTAATGCATGTGGAAATTTGTAACTGTCTTGGAAATTATGGTGCATATATGGAATACACACATATATATATATGTGCTATATACTTATATATATATATGAATATATAGATAGATATATATATGTAGGTATTATATGCATACATGCTGTAGCTTAAAAATCACATGCTTACATTTAAAGGATGCTCAGCCCAGCTGTAATGTATTTCTTAATCTCCAAGTAATGTATTAGATTTATTTTGGGCAATCAAGATTTGCTTTGCCAGTCAAGAGTTAAATTATCAGCTGCCAATGTGTAATGACAGGATCACTTCTGAGATATGTATAATGTAGTGCATGTGTACTGTGTGTAAATCAAACATCAGGAATGTAACAATGGTTCAAAAGCCTTGTCTGGATGATTTTAGTGGAGAAAGGAGTAGTTGGGTTTTTTCTATTTTCTCACTGTTGCAGGGATAGAGCATATATAAAAGTGAACATAGGACCTGATGTTAGTAAAGTGTCTGGAGTAAAAATGTAGATTATCTCATATGTACATTTTTCTGATTCCACACATTTTATTTTATATATATTGCTTTGAAAAGTAGTTTCAAGTCTTGGTTTGTTTTTTGCTGAACTCATTAGAAAGGTAGGTCAAAAGCTCAGTGAAAACCACAGCAAGCCTAAAATATGGCTCTGAAGAGTAGTGGCAGAGGGAGAAAGGGAGGAAAGGAGGAGGAAAGTCAAAGTGAGCAAAGTCCAGGTCGTTACCAAGGACAATATAACTATCACTGTTTCTGAGAGTCATCATCTAGATGGAACTGAGTTTCCATTACACACATGCATCTATGTATGTTTTAAACATACATCTATGTATGTATATATCTGTATGTACATAATTGTATCTATATATATGCATATAAGGATTTATTTTAGGCTCATTTCAGGAGAGGAGCAAAGCATTGGAGCTTTCTTTTTGCCTCTGAATGGACTGTATGTGCATTTGCTTGTAAAACCAAAGGCAAACACAGAGGGGAGTGGAAGGCTGCCATGGACTTAATCTTGTGGATTAATTAAGTTAATTAGCAGTCATGATTCATGTATCTGAATTCTGCCAGTGATACAAAACACAGACTTTTTAGCTATAGAAGAGGGATTCAGTTTCTGCTACAGCTCTCTTCACCATCCCTTTTACCCATTGTGAACTTTTCCAGAGAAGTCTCCTCCTGGGATGCCAGCGGAGGGCGTAGAGCACAAATAAGAAGCAGCAGCCAGTAGAGAAGAAAGGAAGTGAGACCAGGATCACAAGCAGATACCTTTCTTTATTTCAAACCATAGAGCAGTGCAATCTGAGGCAAGGCAAGGGGAAGCATATTGGCAGGGAGGCCAAAGAACCCACCCATCTGCCCGGGTTTACAGCAGGACAGTGTCACAGGCAGCCCCCAGGGACAGAGGTGGGACCTAGGGTGGGTGCAGAAACTTGGTTTGTTGTAGCGATAACTTAATGACTGGCAGAGCTCTGGTCTCAATCTTGTCTTTTCTGCATGACCAAATAATTCACTGGCTATTCCAAGTATTTCGTGGAGTTTTCCCTTGAGTTTCATCAGTCAGTTTGCAAGTTTGCATACAGGTTCTGTGGTAGAATCGAGTCTAGACAACATCATAATTTGTTTGTTCTGTTTTAGCAATGTCAGAACAGGTACAAGAGTGGTTACAAACTCTCAGCTAGTAAATATTTCTCTGTAGGTCCATTACAATGTAGAAAAAATCTGCACGGCAGATTTAGTTGTGCTGAGAATTTTGTTGCAAATATGACATTCTCTTCAAAATTATTTAATCCTATAGAATAGCAATTACTAAAATATCTTTTTTTGCTCCAAATTCAGAGCACATTTCTCTAGTGATTACATTAAAATGTCTTCAATTAACATAATAAAGCATTGCTCTAGATGCTTTTTTATACCACTCTAAGACTGACATTCCTTTATAAGGTGATTTATCTGTTTGCAGCCCCTTTTGCATGGCAAATCCATGAAAAGGACCACAATTCCACTTGTTTTTAATATCAAAAAACTTAATTAACTGTGTCTGTCTACTGTTTGTGTGGATTTATTTGGGAAAAAAATGAGCCAAACTGAATTCTAGAAGTGCTCAGTTTTAACTGCAGGGAAGTCGTGTTTTCCTTGTCTTTTCCAACACAAGAACATATACATATATATTTGTTTGAAATATATTATAAATCTATTTTCAGTATATCAAAATTAACATATTTGACCAACCCACAGAAATACAGAATAAGTGAATAAATACTACTGTTTATAGTGCTAACTAATAAAGAGGTTTGTCATGTTTATAAATAGTCCTCCACAATTGCATTTTACATCTTGAAAACGTTTTGTTCTTTTCAAATAAGCTAATTGCTCCTTGAGATTTTTGAGTTATTTCTTAGTCAAGATAACCAAATAGAGATCACCAGTGTGAAAGACATTATTTAATCATTATCTGCAGGGCTTTTAATCCTTAAAGCACTATTATTAAATCACTCCAACCTCATGACCTTTTCAATCAGTAATGATTGTAGCCACATTTTAAAGATGTGGAAATTAAAGAAAAAAAAGTTAAATGACTTGTAAGAGACCACAGAGATAGCAATATCCAGTTCAGGAATATAAATGCATTCTTGCCTTTTGTCCTAGAAATATTAAGACACTAGCATACAAAATCTTCATTGCCATTCATAGGTATTAGCCTCTACAAACAATTACAAATATTGCCAAACAAGTTTTTACCCTCCAATAAGGTTAATTATCAGCATCTTACTCTGTTTTTATTACTACTTTTACAGAATTTAAGCAAACAGCATTATTGTTTATTTGGAAAATGAAAATTCAATTTTCAAACATTATTTATTTATAGTAACTGTAGTGTGGTAACTGTAAATATATTTTATTTAAATTTCTCTGATTTGGGATTGGTCATGTAGCTATAATACTGCTTTTGCCCTTCATTGACTGACGGTAGAACAACAAATAATGATCACATGCTACAGGCTGGATTTTTGTGATTGGTCTTGATACATAGTCATTTACACTCAAAATTTCAAATTCTTGATATTGGATTTCACATATGCAAGTTATCCTGAGACTTTAAATAATAAAATAGCATGAATTTTAGTAAATAACTTCATAATTCACTAAAAAAATCATTTCAGAAAATATTAGTTCTTGATTTTAGTTTGTCTTGGCTTTCATTGGTCCACAGTAGTGCCTGAAGCTCTTCAATTAAATATCCAAAATTAGAATTTGTCACATCTTTCTGTAGTTATGTTTGTTAATTTTTTTAGTGACAAGCTTTTCAAATGAGACTCTTTTTTTAATGATTGATTAACCTGGGACCTATAAAAAAAGGATATTTAAAGTGTATATTGAAGCTACTACTTCTAGCATTGCTGTCTGATAATTGAACCATATTAATCAAAATTATTCTTGGCATTGAGGAAGCAGATGTCAGCTGTCTATTATACTACCACAAAGACTTTATCTTGGCGTAAATACCACTCTTACCTGCTCTTTGTTGAAAGGATTACAAGATTGTTATTTCCTTCTAATGGAGAGATTGCTTTAGCAATTACTAGAAAAGAAGCATGGTAGTAGAAGCCACTTCAGTTGAGCAAACTTATTTCTGAAAGGAATATATGGTTTTTGATTGACTTGTGATAGGCAGCATTTAGGAATTTCTTCTGCAAGTTGTCAGATTCCCTTGGCTCTAACTAGAGTCACTTGAAAATTGAGGCATGTAAACACCACACGGAAGGTGCTCAATCCATCACAAGCTCAGACATCCTTAGCCTTAAGAGGTCTCCTATGAGTTTTGTGGAGCAGAAGGCAGATGTTATTCTCATACTTGTATTGGAATGTTTTGACTTCATGGTTCCTGTTATTCTTTTCAGTTCAGTTTATTTCTTCTGTTACCCCTTGGGCTCCAATGCTGTTTCAATACCTATGCCAGGTTACGGTGCTGCAGGTGGAGCAGCTACCAGACCTGCCTGTGAAGGAAGATGAACTTTATTATGTGATTTTCTTTGTTCAATGTCATGGTGGCAGCTTGTACGGATGTATGTTTCCCTTTGGGATAGTTTGCAGGGATTTCTGATATAATAACTTCTGCTCAAAGAGGGTGCAAAGCTGCTCTTCTGTGCTAGCCTCTTGATCTCCCACCACCAAGCTGTGGAAACTTCTCCAAGGCTTCAGCAGTCTTATAAATTGGTCAGGCAGCTTGGTTAGAGATGTGCAGCTGATGGCTCCTACTCCTGTTGACTTTTCCACCTCTCTGAAGCTGTGCTTCAAAGGTAATCTGAAAGATGTTCAGGTGCCCCGACTCCTCCTCCCTCCTGACTCTTCACTGAGTGTGCTGTTTCAGAAGAGCCAAGGTCCAGCCTGGAAGGTGGTTCTTAGTTTCAGAGTCATTGTCTGTTGGACATCTCAGGAATATAGGACTTGGCAATAAGATCAAACTGAAACATGGAAGCTGATTTTTTTGTCCAAATTCATTATGTCTAAGCACATATGAAATGGAAACCTGAGACAGAACAGTTTGCTTTTCCCTAGCCATAACAAAGTAGTGTATTTACACCTACCAGCCTGTTCCAGCACTTTCTGCCTCCACTCTAGAAACTAACTCCTGTCTTTGACATCCATTAGGAACAGTGTGTTGAAGACCCCCTCCTCTTCTTTTTAAGTTTCACGCTTTGTAAATGACAATCACTGCTTGATGCAAATGTTGCACTCTATGCCACTCAGGGATATTTCTTTACTAAAAATAGCTATATAAATATAACAGAATAAGGAAGAGAATGTTAAAGGCTTTGAAGAGTATGGGTTGAGCTGCCCAAGTAAACATGACCCAGACAAGGCTTTCAAGCCAGTGATTTAAAGTAACATTGGTATAAACTGAATTCACTGTCAGCATTTCCTCAGCTTGATCTCACTTCACCCATTGTTTCACAGTCAGCAGAGTCCTACTGACCCATCAACTGATGATGTTAAGGTCCTTTTGGAAACAAAATATAAGTGAGCTTTGTACAAGTTACTGAATTTAGACAAGTGACAAAAGAAAGTGCAGTTTAAGAGTGCTGAGTTTATGTACATTAATGTGAGCTTATACTCAAAATTGCTGCAGACATGTAAAAAGAAAGATTAAGACATGGAATAAGTGATAGTTTGTCAGCAGTGATAGGAACACCACCTAGGATACAGAAAAATTACTATAAAGAACAAGTAGGTATGAGCAAGTGGCTAACAGCTACCATTTTCTCTCAGGGATGCAGAATCATAGCTAGCCCAGGACTCTGTAGCAATGCTTCTTCATAGTACGATCAGTCCCTTTCTCACCTCAAGAAAACATTATCTGATTTTATACTGTGCTAGTGAACTTCCTAAAATTTTGGAATGTGCTTATCCCTAGCTTTAAACCACGTTTTATATATATCTGTCATTACAAGAACACACACAGAAAGATAAATTGCAGTCAGTTAGATTGCCAGTCATTAAGTTAA